TTTCACCTCGTCCTTCCTTCTACTTTTGTCTTCTACGATCATTCAAACTCGGACTCTTTTGTGTCCTGTTTGTGCCATTCATTGCTCCTTAGCTCGTACCTCTCACTTTCAGATTTTCCGTCTTCAGCTCAATATTCCTTGAGATTCCTCTTCCTCCAGTCAGTCCAATAATGTCTGATGGTAGAGTTGAGGTGTGCACTAGGTATGGCCTGAATGCATCTCAACCACACTACACATATTGGCTGTCTGACCTCTTTTGTCAAAGTACACAGATAGCCATATTCTGCTCAACCCATGATTCATGGGGTTTGTTTGCCTCTACCTCCCTTCTATTCTGGGCGAAGACTGTACCCTTGAAGAGATGAGATACAGTCTCCCATGAGTGTGCCACTAAGGAGTTCCTGCCATCGTGTAATGGTCTGAAATAAACACACCACTACAATCAAGGTTAAAAAACAACAAAAAACAATTTATTTGGAAATAAATTTAACACTTACCAAAACACAGAAAATAAACACTTGCCTGGCCAGGACTTGATGCTAATGTTAATGAACAATATATCATAAATATCAATATTATTTCAAATAATGGAATCAGGAAAAAGAACCAGAATGAAAAACCCTAATTCCAAAAAACACAAAAGTACCTTTCAATGTTAATAACAATATTGAGTAATAAATAGCAATAATTCACTAACTGTATTGTTCACGAACTATCTTGTGACTCTCTCTCTTAGTGAAGCTTCTGGCAGGGTATATATTCATTGACTAGGTCACTAGAGTACATGTCATGTGATCATAAATTTACACAATTTTATGCTACATTAATAGTATCTGTAAGTCACCGCTAGGGAAGCTGGTGTTAGTTTCATCTTACATACATATTTACTCAAATCCAACTGTTGAGCTAGAAGGTGAATTGGTGTTTTAATGCAACTAAAAATTTATAGATAACTTAAACAATTGAAGGAAATGATAAATGAAGGATAAACATAACCATAGAAAAATATAGAATTTGCTATCTCACAATCAGGTGTCACCCTCCATGTGTTTTCTTTGGGCATTTTCTGAAGCAAGCTCATCTAGGTAAATTTTGCACTGGTCTCTCCATCATATCAATGTGTGGATTCTAGCTCTCTGTGTGAAAAGGTGTGTATCATCTCAGAAAATAACATTTTCCTTACTTTAAAATATATTTTTGATAGACACCTCTTCCCACACTCCTCCCCACTTCCAGTGCACTTTAAACATACTTGCTCTGTTGAGGAGTTAGGAGAAGGAGTTAGTGCATAGTGAAGTTTTGTTGACCTCCTATTGGTGGAGTGCTTTTACTGCATAACAATATAATTATGCAGCAGCACAATTTACAAGAAAATTTGTGAGATTAAGTGGGAATTGCCTAAAAGCTAGTGGCATGCAAATCTCAAAGGCAGATAACTCTGTGTGTAGAGAAAAGTATCTATCGAAATACATTTTCAGGTAAGGAAAATGTTAATAAATTTCTTTGGGTGAAAGAACTGGATTTAGCATTTGTGTAGTGTTCAGTCATAGTCAGTTATTAATGGCGGTATTTACATTGTAGTCTCTCTCCCCATTTATTTTATCCCAGATTTTTTCTGATTCTATAAATTAGACAGTTGTGGAGAAAATGCTGTCGACTGTTATCATGGCCATGACAATCTTGGAAAGCATAGCTGAGGCTTAGGTCAAACTCAAGACACAAGGATGTCTGTGTTGACTGAACTGTCCATAGGTAGAAAGGATTGTGTTTTACAGGCAAGTTAAGCGTGAACACGTGTAAGCCTTTAGACATGGAATTTGACCATAGGTTTATTTTTGCACTTTGGACCTGAAGGAACTTCTTTGATCAAGTATTTTTGTAACCTGGACATTAAGACTTTAACTCACACTTTTGATTGAGTTTTCCTGACCAATCAGAATTTTTGTGACTCTGCATTTTTAGCCCTCACTTTTCCTGTTTATGATAATATTCTTATCCCTTCTGACTATCTTCATTTTTTTCATTTGTTGTGTTCTCTGTTGCTAATCTATCTCAAAACACTGCTTTATTATGGAAACAATTGATTGCAAGTCTTTTCCTTTTGATTTAATTATCAGATGATGCAGAACTTGTGGTATTAGCTCTTCTCCTTTGTGAAAATTAATGGTTTTGATAATTCTTACTACTTGGTTAAGCATATTAGTGAGGTACAGGACTGTAGGGTGCATTAGCTTCCTCCTTAGTTAATATGTAAATTTTTTGAAATTCCTCTATTTTCTTTCAGTTCAGTTTGTATGCAGAGAATTGCACAAACAAAACAACACAAATATTCTTTTGGTCACATGAGACATGGATTCACTAATTGGCAATTAGTTTCTTAAAGGAAACTTAACTTGTGATGTTTTGTGATAGATGGTTGTCTTTTCTGTGAATGAAATTGGATAATGGCCTAGGGCTGCCATGACTTTGTCCTAGAATCACCGTGGATGAAAGCTGACATATATAAGGTGTGATTGTGTGAAAATCTGTTTTTTTTAATGTTACTGTTTTGTATTATAGCCAGATTTGCCCTTGTGAGAGTAACTTTTGCTAATGTTAACTTTCAGCTTTTAACATGTACTGGATTGTAACCTTAACATTTGTAACATGTGCATGCCTTAATTTTTGCTTAACTTGATTTTAAGCACTTGAGTTTTATCTTAATAGGGTTGTTTTTATTTTACATTTTTCAGTGTAGTTTACAAAAGGAATCACACTTCTGGTAAGAAAAGTCTATTAAAAGGTTTCTCCACTTCTCTCTCTTATTAATTCAACACCCAATATCAAATTTGCACTTGTTTTGTAACTTTTGGTTATTGTTTGTTGCTAAAGGCTGTTGTTGTGTACTTTCTATGTTTTGACTCTTTCTTTATGATACTCAGTCAGAGTTTGAAGAGAAACATAAACACATTCTGTAACTTGCTATTCTCCAGTTAACAGTCCCTAATAACTACTCTTTTGCAAATCTGTGCCCTAGAAAATGACATACTAGCTTTTATACACTTTTCCTATGTGGTCTTAACATCGAAATTTGTTTAAACCAAATGATTGAATTATAATACGAGTTTCTGGGAACTTACTGTCTACATACATTATACACATTGGGGCCTTTTTTAAAAGTTAAGTAGGAAATAGTTATTTCTGATTACAACATACACGCCATTGTGGTATGCATTATTTATTTCTCATTTCTACAGTTATTGGCATTTCTGTTTATATTTAGGCAGTAAAACTATTGTAATGATAGTAATTGATTCATTTTTTGGAAAATGTAATTTAATAATACAGCAAAACACAGACATAATAATAGGAAGCATTTATTAAAGGTTTCAGGATCTTCAAAATTCCATCATCAGTAATCTAGAGATACAAAACAAACGCAATGGTAATTACAACAGAAATATGTTATAATTTGTAATACATAAGTAAACAATTTGAATATAAAAAGTATAACGAGAAAATGAAAATTGCATAGCACAAATGAAATAATTAAATTCAAATAGATTTAAATTAAGTGAAGAATGTATATTGTTACGACAGCGGAAGTCACGTGATGCTGGTAACACGTAATGAGTATCTCTATTGTTCCTGAAGGCTCGAGTGTTTGCTAGACGCCCTCTATTTTGTATATATAAGACCGGCAAGAAGTGACGGCATAGATAATTAATTGCAGACAGGCAGAGATAGAGACGGACAATTGAATCAAGCGCGGTAGTGACCGTAAGTAAAATGCGTGAATCGTTGTGAATTATAGCGTGTGTTTAAGTTAAAGTGAAATTAAGTATATTGCAAAATTGTATTGAGAAAGAATAAACTAGTTTTATTTAAGAAAGGACTTGTATCGCTAAAGTTTCATCCGAAAGAAATTATACGGAAAATTAACAAACGAACAGAGACGTAACAACATTATTTAGATATGGAAGAAGAATTTTTATGTATAATGTCTCTTTTTATTAGAAGTTCAGTATCATATTTAGCTGAGAGAATTTTAAAATTGGAGAGAGAAATCAGATGACCTGTTTCTGTATTGTGCTGGGAGATAGTGGAGTTTGGAGGGTTTGTAACTTTTGTTCCAGTTTTTATAGATATGCCCATATGTTGAAATGCTCATACTTTAAGGTGATGCTTGGTTTCACTAATATAGGAGGCCTTACAGTCTCCACATGTGTAGAATAAAATGGGCAATCATAATTAATTTTTATTTAGTAAGTGTTACTTTATCTGTTTAACTTGAGATATTTTATTAACTGACTGATATATCACCATACTATACATTTGTATTGTAGACTAATATACTACATTAGTAGCATGTAATGGTAATTGTGCCTACACATGTATAGTTGTAACATTATCTATGAAACACTGCTATCTATATGTCCAAGGTCTCTAGGATAATTAGACGCTGTTGTAAGACCTTTTTGTATGTTATGAAACACTGCAATGAGACTAGTATCTACAGTATAGCAAATTCTAGGTCTAATCAAATGAAGTCATGTTTTATTACTATTTATGACCACAGAATTTTGTGTATTAAATGTATAGAACCATTTTTGTATCCAAATCATCTGGATTCTGTTAAGATAAAATTAAGAAATTATTGCAGTTTCTTTCTTGTTTTGATTAATTTTTCAGAATTAATTACTGAATCTGAATAAAATGTGTATGTGAGGCAAAAGTAACTTGCCCAAAGTCTTGAGAACTAATATTTATTTTACACTATTATATATTGAAAACTAACCAATGCAAATTTAAAAAATCATCAAAACGCATGTTAATCATTGCCAGGAAAATGAGATTAACCATTAATATTTTAATATATTTTGATACTAAATATATAATTTCTGGTGATAGTCAGTTTTTGCCTCATCCTATATATTACAGATTTTCTCAGTCATGTCAAAATTATTTTTTATCTTAATAATTGACTGTAGGTTTATTAATTTTTAATCTTTCATTTTCAGGATGAAGAAAAAAAATATAGGATATTATAATGTATATTTTCTTGTAATGTGCTTGATCTATGAAGAATAAATATCAATTAGAAAATGGATAAATCTCCTGGATTATGTGGCACACCTCATTTGGCAGGAAAACAGGTAAATAAACTTTATGTCAACTTTGCTTGTACATTGAAACTAAAGTACATAGGTCTTGACAACAGCAAACATTCTTTCATTGTACTTATTATCACAATATAAAACATTGGTATGTCAATAGGAGCATGTACAGTTTTTTAATAACATATACCAGACATTGGTTGGTCAATAGTGGTGTGATCATCAGTAATGTGTAGTATTTCTTTACATGCATTATATTTCAACAGAGTTTAGGATGTGTATTATTCATAAATTTCTTTGACCTTCGTCAGAGAGAGTTGGTGTTTCTATATTATTTTACCTGGTAAGATTATAATTCCTGTAAATATTTTGGTAAGCATACCTGATGTGTAGTAGTCAAAATTAATGTAAAGAAGATTTGTGTAAGGTGTGGGATTTTCATTTATTTGTTTAAATATTTGACATTTTAGATAAGGAAACATAATTTAGGATATATTACTGTTGTAATGATTTCTACTGATTAGCCAGTTCTTTTTGATTATTTGGTAACAATAATGCAAACATCCACTCCACTTAATAGTAACAAAAGTGATTTATTTATTCACTTGTAATATGTAAGATGTACAGGTTACCTTCATTGATAGCCATAACTCACAAATAAAACTAAAACTAAACAGTCACTTATTTATTAAATTTCCTCTCATATCTATAACACAATTCAAAACTAGCTCGCTAACATACTCACTTTACAAACACCAATTTACAAACTAACTAGTCAGTACGCTAACCAATTGACTCTGATCTTTTTTATACAATATTTGTTTTTCTCTCAACCTCACAAAATTTTCTAGGTGTTACACATCATTACATCATGCCACAGTTTCCTCTAGCAAACAATACAAAACATAGCCTACAACACTACCCTTCTAGGTGTTACACATCATCATTACATCATGCCACAGTTTCCTCTAGCAAACAATATAAAACATAGCCTACAACACTACCCTTCTCCCTGGATTATGATTAAGTCCCTTTAAAAGTCCTAATATATTGAAGGAAAAAAATAATATATTATTAAACTTAAACTTGCATAACTAGTTGTAAAATCATTATTTACAATTAGCAAAAATTGTTATTCATAAATAGGCATTCAAATTATTAGTTAAATGTGTTAAAAAAAGTACAATCACAATTTTGATTAACAAAACAAAATACTATTCATTATCTTGTTTACTCTCTCTCAACTGTCAATTCACCAAATATTTTTGGTGGTTTTATTTTCCAAGGCTTATGGTATGAAGACAGGAGGACCTCTTGTAATTTGCTATCTTGTCACTTTGGGAGTTTTCTCAGGGAAGATGTTTTGAGTAAATTCAGTGGTTGTTACATCCCTATTGATACTCTAGCAGTGATCTCAACAGGAGCCTCTGGTTCTCCAGCAGGTCCACTTATCTTTGGTGAAGCTAAGCAGTTGGCTATTATTCTGTTGACATCTTTCCAAGGAATCACAACACATGACATTTTTGCTTGGACTGTCTATTCTTCTGGATTCTGCTTTGTTGCATTTTGGATCATCTGTCTTCATTACCCTGTGCAGCCATCTTTGTTGTTGCTTGAAGTCCGACCTTGGTTGATATAATTGTTATATAGTCATAATGATTTTACGGTTCCACCTTTCATTATAAAATCAAATTGAACAATTGTAGCTGTAGAACAAGTGTTGATAAAAATAATGCAAGGCTTCTCATCAGTAAACCCATTGATTCATCTACTGGTTTATCTAAATGATACATTCCTCATTTCTAGTAGGGCAGATGGATTATTCTCTGCCTGATGTTGTAATCTCCTTCTTTCATTATCAGTGACTGTTTCACAACAATCTTGCATGTAATGTCGATATTTTCTACACTTATAGCAACTTCCCTTTCATGTCATCCTTTGTAAGCAATTTTTAGCAATATGTTATTTTAAATTACAGTTGGAATACCATCTATCCTCTGGTTTACTTTTTCTAGCCTAGTTAAAAGCTCTCTAATTAAATTCTTTTGTCTGTAGTTTCTGGCAATGTGGCCTTTATAGTTGCAATTGAAACACCTTCTATCATGTTGTTTACTTTTTTCATTCTGAGTTAACACTTGTCTAATGAATCATTTCAGCTATTCTGTACCTTTATCAGAGAGAGTTGGTGCTTATATACTATTTTACCTAATATGATGATAATTCGTGGATGGTGAATTTAGTTATCTGCAACTATAATTGATTCCAAGTCTGTCATCAACCGATGAACTTCCTTTAAAGATGTACACATAATTCACTTTTGCCTAAATTGCATATCCTCATCTACTATGGCACCTGTGAATTGGTTGTCATGTACCAATTAATCCATCATTTAACTTGAGAATCTAGGTAAGAGAGTTGGGCAAGCCTTTCCACATCTTAAGCAAATTTGGTAAAAGTTTCATCCTTCCTTTGCTTTGGAAACTTCTTCTGATGTGTATCTCAAACCTATTTAATATGGTAGACACCAATATTGTTAGTTGTTTGGCTTTGAGCTTAAAGAGTGCTTAATGTTCTTAAGGCTGGTCCTTTAAAATGGACAGTAAATTGAATAGTTTGTTGTCCACTATTCCATCCTTCGACTTTGGAAATAATTTCAAATGTTCTTATCATATCCCCCATGGTACATTTCCATTATAGTCTGTTGGCTTCTCATTTGGGTGATGATGTTTTGTATCTTAATAAGGTTGTGATATAACTGGAGTATTCTAAGAAAGTGCTATAGCCATCAGTGACACAACAATAGTAGTGAATGGGTTCTCCTCTTCCATATTCATGGTATTTGGGATTGAAACTTGCAAACAGATGTAGATAGAGAAATGTGATTGGTTTGGTTCTTGCATTTGTCAGTTCATTTTCCATATGTTTTACCTGGCATTGATAATCTTATGTACTTACCTTTTTACTTCACTGATGTTCTTTTGTACTACTTCAATTTTGTTGTCAAAATCCCCTATACTTTTTCAATCTTATTGTTGTAATACCTTTTTTACATTTGTAGTAGCTTCTTCAATGATATTTGTTCTTAATCCTTCAGTTATTATATTACCCATTTTGATTTGGTTTTCACAACCATCAGTTGTTATATTAACCACATTTTCCCTTAAGTACTGGCATGAAGGTGACTCCAACCAAGTTACAAGAATAGAATAACTCTGTTATGACTCCATTAAGAGGAGCAAACTTTTGCCCAAATCCGGAGTATTATCACAGCTATTCCAAATGAGGAATGCTACTATTTTTATGTTTCTAAACAGATCTAAACACTCTTAAGTCACATTAAAAAAAAAAGAGTTCCTTCATATCTGCTTTAGTATAAAAGAAACAAGCAGTTAAAATATGTTAAGTTTTCTTCAGGAAGATTGGTAAAATTACACTAGTAGATATTAGTCTGAATTAAGGTTTGACAACCATAAGATAGCCCCCCAGTGGCACAGCGGTATTTCTGCGGACTTACAATGCTAGAATACGGGTTTCGATACCCGTGGTGGGCAGAGCACAGATAGCCCATTGTGTAGCTTTGTGCTTAATTACAAACAAACAACCCTAAGATATATATTAATATATTTTTTTATAATTTTAATTGTAGATTGCTCTCCAAAGCCATTAGATTACAACTGATGACGTGAGGCCCTAGGGCAGGGGTAGGCAATAATTTCTGCAGGGGGGGGACACTATGAATTTTTGTAAGCTGCACACTTCTACTATATTAATTAAATTACCCCAACATTGATTGTATAAAGACCCCATTCTGTTCTTTCCACAATTGTCCGGAGTCATGGCAGGCAGGATAGGAATGTTAGACAGCTCGTGGACCATATTTTGCCCACCCCTGCTCTAGAGTCATGTTGAAAATCTGAAGTGAGAGAAATGTTTCTTGGTCTACAGTGCTATACTTGTATGTTGATAGCTTCTTGTGAAAGATGGGGTTCAAATACCACTCTCACTTTGGATGGAATGTTATTTCTAAATAGTTTTAAAATAATAATCAAAAGAAAAAGTAGTAGTATTTGATTGAAACATTTTACTTGTACAAAAACAGCCAAGTTAGAATAAAGAAGTCAGCTATATAAGGATGTGATATAAAAAAAAAGTAAAATTAAATAATAGGTAAACCTTGTAAAGAAGTAATGTAAAGGTAGATAAGTTGAAAATATTTGGGAAAAACTTGGTCCCTTTTTATACTCATGTTGCTTAACTGTTCCAGTTACAAAAGAAAAAATCCTCATTTTTATCTTATCCTTTTTTACATTAGTTCTTTACAGGGTTTGCTTTTTTATGTAACTTGCCTCTATTGTTTTTTTTAAGTTACCTACTTTATTACTAACAAATATTTTCAGTTGTTACTTCTTTATCCATGTTATAGATGAGTACTAGCTTGAAAGAACGATTACGGCGCTTAGGACGTCTTCGTTATTCTCCACTGTCAGTCAGCCAGGAGCCGACTACACCAAATACTAAACATAACACCATTTACAATTCAAAATGTATATCACCTCAACAGAATGTAGTCGATAAACATAGTATGTCCACCATGGACAAGAAGCACGAACAGTACAACTCTCCTATAACAGAAATGAATGAATCAGTAGCTGTTTCCAAGACTGACAAGAAACACAAACAGTACAACTCTCCTGTAACAGAAATGAATGAATTAGTAGCTGTTTCCAAGACTGACACCATAACAGTGAATGTATCTACAAATGTCTTGCATGACAGTACTTCAAGTAAGTTGCTGTGCAGATTAAGTGAACTTCAAGGACAAATTGCAAAAAAGGAAGACATCTTGAGAAAATTAAAGATGGTGAAGGTGTACCGGCTGAAGGTATTGTTTATAATTTATTTATCTCTTAAAGCTTATCCTCATATAACAATCATTTGTAGACCTGTGTGAGATGTAAGGTAAAACATCTTCCTGCAAAAGATTTCTATTAAAAATCACACATGAATTATCTTTGACAAGTACTATAACTATTTAAACTATTGCTGGTTTAGATATATTTCAACAGTCTAAACGTTTATATACATTTAGAGTGGTACTTTTAAACATGCTTAATGTGAAGTCTGAAATAAAATTATTTTACATTAGAAAACTTAAATCCAAAATTCTTGAATTGAGTTATTTCAAAACGTTAATTTTTGACCTTTCTTTTTGCTTATCTCTCCCCATAACCTTTGTAACTATATAGCCTGTTGTCTCCATTAGGATGGATAAAAACTTTTGAAATATTATTTCATTAGTGCTTTTGACGACATATTTACAAGCTTATGATATGCTTAGTTCTGTGGATGTTTTATCATTTTCCAAATTTATATATATATAGCTGTCATATTTTGGTTGAAAATGCTATCAGAAGTATTTTTGATGTGCTCTTTGTAATCACGTTTCACGGAAATCGTTGTTGTATAACAATAGGGTATAATAAGTGTAAACAGTGATGACAGCCTAAAAAAAAACCTGAATCTGAACAGAATAGGAATTTAATTTCTGTATTTGCATTCCCATCATGAGCAATGCTAAAAGATATGAAGTGTACAAAATATGTGGTTTTCACTTGTTTAATGAACAGTGAGTCTGGTATTATATTTAGACTTAAATTTCTGCTTGGCAAGAATTTTATATCAGAATGTTATTTGTTATTATTTTTTCTTGCTTTCATCTTCACCTACAGGTATAATTTACATACAAACTTACCCATGGTTTGTTTCTTTTATGTCGTGAGGGTGGCATACTAATAAGAAAATCTTCCTCTCCATTACTTTTTTAGATACACATTCTTGGCTAGATGGCTTTTGTTTCTAAACCTGAATGGGCTGGCTATCAATATGATTTATGATTGGTTGATATTTCACTTAATGTGTTATGAAAAAGTTTGAGTCTACTTTCAGTACAGGTGCAAAAGCTAAAAGGCTTAAATGACTATGATCTCAACTGTATGTTGTTTAATTTCACCCCATAACAAATTTATTTGATCAAGTTATACCAAACCTGCAAAGCAAAACAAAAAATCTGAATTTAAAGGGTATGACTGTAATGGCCTAATATGGGGGTTTAAAGTCAGAAAGATTATACCAAAATAAGTATTATTCCTTTTTCATATTTATTGTAAATTACTCTCATGAAGGGTAATTTATAGTATATTAATATATTAGTTGATGTAGATTTTCTTAGTACATAGCGTAAACATTGTAGATTTTAATTTTGTATGTTAACTCAACGCCATAGAAGGATGGAAAGAAGAGGCAGGCTTCTGTTTTATATATATATAACATTGAAATTTACATGTTCTTGTCTTTTCAGGTTTGAATTGCAAAAACCAACATGTTAAACCTGCAGTTAAAAATATCACATCTTTAAAGAGATAATATCTCAAGTGTTTAAACAAAATTCACAATTTCTGTTATTTACAAATAATTGACTAAAATTATACAAGGTTAATCAGATTATCTGCTTAACAGCCACTTATCCTCATCTTTTTAATTCAGTAAATATCATTTTAAAGACTTCATAATTTGTTTTGTGGATAGAAAATCAAAGCCAGCCCTTATCATTCAAATATTTATTGAGCCTTTTCTTAAATTTATGGCACCCCATTCCAAAGGTCAACCACCCTATTAGAAAAGTAAAACTTTAAGCTAAAGACAACTTCAATGCTGCCAAAATCTATATTTGTGTTGCCTAGTTCTACCGTTTATCACAATTAAGGATGATGCATAAGTACCATCAATTCCCTTAACATCTCTATCAGATACCTTCAAATTCTTTAACTGTTGAAGTCCTGGCTACATCTGTATGCTATAACAATGATTTTAGTCAGTTTCCAGAGATCTGAGAACTTGTGATTTGTCGTCACATTTATATCAGATTACAGTCCACCTATAGTAGGAACCATTATGCTTCCACTGATTAATATAATTATCTGTCAAAGGCGAGAAAACACATTTTAATTACATTGTTTTTAATGGAAGGAATATTTGGTTAAATAAACCCTCCTTCCAGTCAGGCCTATGTTCTTTCTATTACTGATCTCTTTATATCAGGTTTCCTTGATGTATTCCTAAAGGTTGCTGGCATATTTTAGTCCATGAGATGGTGTTTTTATCTTAAAAGGAATATTCTTAGGTACATTAGGATATAAAGCTACCAGTATTTTAAAAAGTTTGTAAGATAATATGATTTGTAGTTTACTTGGTACATCTTTAAAGAGTGATTAGATAGTTAACACCCCTAACCCATTGAACAGTTCTCATGAATGTTATATTTCATCCCCTTCTCTTTAACTTTTGGTTTCTGGCCTATTTTTCATTCAAAATTTGTAACATTTTAATGAAGATTACACTGATGGAAGGGAGAACCCAATGAAATATATTGAAAAAAGTTATAACTTGCATATGTTTACAAGTGTGAATGATGTACTTAAAAAAACATATTACTAATCTAGAATGATCCAGCAACGTTTGAGCAGCTTATTGTTAAATGGCGACGAATAACACAAGAAGCAGTACAAGATCTACACCAAAGGATGCCTGAACCTAGACCTTTAATCACTGATCTCATCAATCATTTGCAGATTGATCATAAACTGTTAGGTTATGTTGCTGAAGATATGACTTTTGATTATATATCAGCCTGATCTATGGACTTTATTCTCTCAGTAATATTTACTTTACTTCCTGTTGAAGTTACCACATCAAGTAAGTTTTTTTTATCTCCATATCTTTCTGAAGTCACTCTGTAGAACACAGCATTATTGGAAACAAGCAGGAGCTCCCAGAGATAACTGTTTAAAACCTTTCCTTGAAATTGATTGTAAATATTGTCAGATACAAAGTGAATGAGTGAACAGTTTTACAACATGATACATACAGGCAGTATTTCTTTGGTACTATGTTACTGTTTCCAGTTACAGCAGTAAAAAAAAGAAATATATATTTTAAACATTTTTCAAACTTAATGTAAATTCTATCTTAATTGTTCATACAAGTAAGCATGCACAGCTGCCTTGTCCATCAAAAGATAAACATGGCAGCTATAACAATTTTGGGATATTCTATTTGGTGTTACCTTGTGAAGATGTATATGTAGGGACAACAAATTTCATGGTGTGTCCAAAACTGTCATTTATTACAAAGAAGTCAAATCAATGATGAACCATTTTCAGTTGATGAAAGTTGCTTACCATATGTTATATTAATAGTTCACAAACATTATTACCCCACAATCAAAGGCATGTTAATAAAATAAGTATTTTACCATTTAGCTTAGCGAGTAAATTATTTAAAATATACATTGTGACTCTGAAAGTCACCATTGAAACAATCTTTTAACCCTTTCACGATGGGAGCCTTTTTAAACGCTTTTCTGCACAAATCACTGTTACATTCAAAATTTAATTAAGCACTTTTAATATCAATGTAAATGAATGAATTTAATATTATAATGTGTGTTATGAAAAATCTCTACTTTGGCTTTCTGTATCTTCAATAAGACAATGGTAATAGAGTAGATGTATGTCTAGCCACTAAGATGCTTACATAACCTTTTGACTCATTCCTTTCAAAGTACTCTGAATTAATACAATTAAAACAATAAATTTTTTGAACACCTGATAGCTGCCATAGCCACCTTCAACAGACTCGTTTAAGCTTTATCCCTTCTATGTAGACATTACATACAATTTGTATATAACAATTAGAAAGTGCTCATTTTACAGTATAAACTAACAATGGTTATTTTGAAATTGGCACCAAGTCTTCATCACAGAGTACATGAAATTGACAGTAATATTGTGTGTTGGCTGCTTGATCAACTATAGCACTTCTGGTTGTTTCTTACCTAAGTATGTTATAGTTAGAGATACAGTTTAAATTGTATTTAGGTCTTACTATTGTGTATTAGTTGTTTTAAAATGCATAATTAAAAGGTTTAATCACTTTTTAAATATACATCATTCTTCACATCTGTTCTCAAGGCTTATAATATTACGCATTGAATGAAAATTTTGCCGAAGAGTTGCACACATTTAAAAAAAACAAAAAAACTGTAATGCCTCAAGGGCACTGATGACTTGTGATGATATGAATAATAAGTTCTAAAAGTCAAGAAAGGAAAATAAAACATTAAAAATTAATTATATGTGAAAGGAAAAAAAAAAAAGATGAAATTACAAATTTAACAAATGGAAACTCTTTAAAGATATTCTACATAAAATTAAAAAGTATTTTTTATATCTCATGGAATTGTACATTGATGATAATAACTAGAGTTAGTGGTATAAAATATAAAAATTTACCTTAAAACAACTTTTCATATCCTTTTAAGGAGGTTCTAAAACACTTATAAAACCATCATTATTTGTGTTCAAGATACTTATGATCTGTAATGAAATCTTACCAGTTTTTGAGAGGATACGTTAAGAAATCTCATATTTACTGCATGTATTGTTGTAAAAGTGAAAATAGCATGAGCCTGCTGCAAAAGGTTAACATGTACTGCTTAAAAGGGGCTGCAAAAATAAAATAAACAGTCAAACTAGATATTTATTTAAGCAATCTTGAGTAATAAACTTTTCCAGGTTGAGACAAAGAAAAAGCTATGTAATTATTATATTTTGCAGCCTTTAATCCTACAATCTGAAATACAGGTGACACACTAACTGTAAACTCTGACAGTGCAGTAAAAACCAAACAATATCAAAGCTTTTTTTCCTTAATAATCTGTACAATTTGAAAAGTAAAAAAGGTTTCTTTTTATGACATTTTGTACACTATGTCAGTGTAATGTGAATAATTATGTGGTTTGCTGCACAGAAAAATTTCTCTATCCCATGATAATTTAATAATGTACATTTACTTACAGAAGGACACTTTGGTGGAACTGAAAGGTAACAGTGTGCAAATTTTACCATGCCAGAAATCAACAATATGGACATTTTTGTCACTTTCAGTGGCATGGTATTTATATGCTTGGATTTTATCTGTGAAAGTTTAATGGCAAAGGTATGACATCCAAGAAGCAGGCTTACTGTGGGTGACGAATATGAATAGTATTCATAAAGGTTGCTGATGACTGGAAAAAATGGAAACTGTATTTTTGCTATAGTTTGTCTAAATACATCTTGCTTGTGCTGATTCAGTGTTTCTGATTTGTTGTGATGTGCTTTGTCCTGCCATCCACTCCAGTAGAGTAAATCAGTTACTTTGTTGAAGGCCAAATGAATTCAAACTATGCTAGTAAGTCCATGAAACATGTTACACACTGAGCACTGAAAAGCATGTCATGCTTCCAGTATCAAGCAGTTCTTTCAGTTTTTCAAAGCTTGTGTGTCTGGTGTTAATTGAAGTTCTTGTTGTACAAACTCTTTGTAAATATCAAAATTATCATTATGGAATGTGGCACTTTTAATCCAGGCCTTCCACTGTGTAAAAGCAGGCTCTGGGAACAAGCTGAGAGGTTCTGTATCTTGCGGATCTTTCATGCAGTTTTCTACTGGGGCAAGATTTAAATATCTTTTTTTCACCAATGCCACAAAGTTGTTTACACGTGGGAAATTTTCATGCTACAGATCACTGAATATTGCAAGTAATATGAATGTAGTAAGGAAGACTTTGCAAGGTAACTCTGTATGCCTTTAACATAGAGCTGGCATTGTCTGTCACCATGGGAGACACACAGTTAAAATCAACAACATATTTCACAAGACTTTCATGACAGCCTGACCTACTGTTGTATAGTTAACTGAATCAAGATGCAATGCATCTCCCAAATAAGCTGAAAGTTCCTCTTAATTAGTAGTTGACAAGCTCTGTGGGATGAAAATGTACAAAACATAGATTTAGAGTTTTTCAGTATGCCTTTTAAATATTCTTTGTGTGCTGAATACACTTTAGAAAGAGCCTTGTCTGAGAGTGTCACTGTTTTGCAGTGCTCCACAACTGGGAATTTTTATCATTAAGAAACTTCATGGCTTTTCATTATCCAGCTGTTCCATCTGTATGTTTGCTGCACTAAAGGCCTTCTCTATTTCAAATATATTGACATTTCATACCTGTTTGTTTGGTAAGTGTTCAGCATCAACTTCAAGTTTTATTTTTTATTATGGACAGCACTGTCACAGAGCTCGTTAATAATACCTTTCTTGCAATAATCCATGATGTGATCCTTTTGGCAAAATAAATTTAGCTTTTCTTCATGCATCAAGTGTCTTCATATTTTAACCATACACAAGAAATATGTTAAAACCCATTTAAAATTTGGCACTTTTAGCTCTGACTAGGTGATTAATGTACAGATAAATATGCCCTGCTCTCTCTTCAGCTGGTATTTGTTTGACCCATTGCTGTAGAACTATGTACAACCAATTGTAGCACTGCTTCTACAATGAAGAGAATGCAAAAAATATTCACAGTAGCCAATGAGATACATAGTTACCTTAGTGTTATCATGAACCTTCCCAAGCCCTATTTATAGTGGATATATGTATATACTACTATTGTTGCTACCAAAGAATCTTCAGCATATTTGAAAATACAGTGGTTTAAAGGATTATATGTTTCTGATTTCTTGAATTAACTAAGAATTTTGTATTGTAGGTTTATTACTTACATAAAAATGTATCTAGTCATTCAAAAAAAATGTTTAGAATGATTTACAATAATGAACAAATATTGGTTTCTGAAGTTCTCTCTTTATTGATCAGTTCAAAAGTCAGCAGCAATTTACCTTCCTATAGCATGTTTTCTTTATATATATACTTTTCTCATTTAGACAAATATTCAAAAATAGTTTAGGCCCAGCAATGTCTATCTAAAGTTTCTTGCATTCTTTCCTGTACAAAGATCCCATAAAAAATTTGCTTTGAGTTTTATTTATAACTAGTAAAGTATTAATGATTTCACATTGAAAGTTCAAGTGGATGAAAGAATGCATTTAAATTACAGGGCTTTATCTAGTATTTCTTTCAAATAAAAGGACAATGCATCAAGCATGGATTCTCCTTCGTTAGTGTAAGTAGATGGCAGTAGAAGAGAATAAAGGAACATAGTGATGATGAAACTTTGGTTGATCTATTCAAAATTAACACGGTTTTACAAATAATAAATACTTTAGATGCACATTACTGGGATGTAGAAGGTAATCAAATTAAGTTCTTGAATCCTACTTTCTATCTAGGTTTATTTTAACAAAAGAGAACAAACAGTGGCATAAAGAAAATTAGTGTGTTGCAGGTAAAATTATAGAATTGTTTTAGTACTGAGATACACAAAGGCTAACAACTTAAAACAATGTACAAACTAGGAAAGAAAGCATCAAATTTATCCTTTAAAAGTGCTACTGGAACTTAAATGACACTTGAAAACAAACCATTAAACATCTATAACAAAATTATCTAAATAATGCCACTCTTTGACTAGAAAAAAACACCCTCCTTCAACTTTCAACCCCCTCACTTTAATTTTGAGAGAGAACCTAGGGGATCATGTTTTTTGAAATAATTTTTTTTTTTCACCTAAAACAAGTTCAATTTGAAAATTTTTATATAATAATTTGATGTACAAAATTTTCTGCAAAGGTGACTAAAAACATGATCCCTCAAAAATGGTACCTTTGACAGGGATCCCTGAGGACTATACAAGTCCTTCAACTGAAAACAACATTGCTTGTTATAATTATACCGTGTTTGTTTTTTCCAAATTTTTTATGTATTAGTTTGTAGACTTTTAATTTTGAATAGATTTCTGTTATAAAATGATTTATTGTAAAGTTGTAGCATAGCAAAGGTTTCAAGCTTCTGGGGATGTTTTCAATAGAGAAACTACAAAGGAATGATAACCAGTATAATTGTTTGTTCAAACAAATCAATGAAATAGCAAGAAACACTTATCTGCAACATTTCACAAACACAAACTTGCCTAGTTTCTGATCTAAAAGGAAACTTATGTTACTGATCTACATCTTCCTAATGAAGTATAGTATGAAGTGCCCCAGGTCTCATAACATCCACTGGAAACAAATTTTAGAAAACAATGTCCATACAGTTAACCATTTCTTCCTTCGAGAAAGATACCAGTTGTTCATAATTTTAACTTTGCAATGGGAACTCCTGATCATTCTTACTACGTTTTCTTCTCATACGTAGATTATCTCCTATGGTTTTTTGTTGGCTCTCCTGTGCAAAAGAAAAACATAAAAGTGTTTTAAGTGGGGAGTAGTGAATCAAAAAATATTTCATGTTTTGGTCAGGAAAAGAAATTCATAAATATATAAATACCTGACAAATACTTTAGCAGTTTTTTTCATGTCCTGCTATTAGGAATAGTACCTAAATTTTAAAATTAAATTACATAACACAATAATTATATTTGCTAAATAGTAATTTTCCATTATAATTACTCCAATAACCTGATGTGGTATTGATATATGTTGAAACATTTACCTTCAATTTATATATAATTTCATTTATAAAAGTATCTCAGTATAGTACTATTATGTTATTTAACCAGAATATTAATTGTTCTGATATTACACACTTTACTTAAATCTTATGAGTTACCAACATATTGTTTGTTTATAGTTAAGCACAAAGCTGCAGAATGTGCTATCTGTGCTCTACCCACCATGGGTATCAAAACCCAGTTTCTATCATTATAAGTCTGCAAGATCGAACATCTTAAAACTTCATTAAATTTTCTAGGTTTAGTAATACATGGATTTTAAAAATGCTTATTTCAATGACATTCCAGTATTTTATAAATGTGTGAAAACCCTGAACACTGTCACATACTTGTTAACTGGTTTTTAAATCATACATTTTAATTACTATTTTTCTGATTAAAATTAGATGTTGAAAAGTAAGTGCATTACTTGAATAATTGGCTAATTTTTTAACTCTCAATCAAAACTTTGCATGAATGTTTTCTGTGGAATGAAGAAATAAATCTTTGGGATACAATTTGTTGAATTTCAGAAACTTCAGTAAAGACAAGAAGTCATTTACTTTTCCAATAAATAAAACACTCATTCTGTCTACAGTTTCATTGATATCTGCTACTTTTAACAAGCAGCAAAAAAAGGTTTTGAACTGATGCTTAACAGCAATAATAACAGAATATAATACTTACTTTCACAGCTCCTGAGGAGTACTACATGATTTAATTTCAGCACTTTTAATGTATAATTCAAACCTATAATAACCTGGTATTAGATCAGTACTATTAAAAACAAGTTATTGAAATACAAAATTTCTGTGATAACACACCAATATTATACTAAAGATTCGTAAGTAAACACCTGAAAGAACTACACAAATTAATATAGGAATTTCCCAATTATACAACTCTTAATGTACCTAAAGCACACTTGCTGGCATCAAGACTAGGTAACTATCCATAATGATGTATTAAAAGGTTTTTATAATCAAATGCTCTCATAATTACCCATTAACTTTACTTTTTCTTTTAGGGAAAAGAACACTACACAGTTTTTATAAAATATGATATAGTACATATTTTGTTATAAACTTTCAAGTTCAGAAAAGAAGTTGAACGACATGAAAAAATTAGATACCTTCAAGTTAAGGCTGGAATAGTCTAATCCTAATCATGTTTAAAAAAATTTTCAAAACAATGTATAGATTATAAACTTCACATTGATTAAGGGAAGCAAAGTTCAAAATTAGCACCCACCTGCATGCTTACCAAAAACTACTCTTGGATGCATATTGTTTGACCTCTCTAGTGTTTAATTATAGAGAAAACTACATACTAGCAGTCTCATGACTAAGCAATTATCATAGTAAATCCTGTTGGGGAAGTTTTAAAGAAATGAAAACTAGATTATAAATATAGGACAAAATTTTCACAAAATTCTTTATTTCAAGACACCTTAGACTATTATCTGTGGTAAATTATTTTCAACTAATCACTTACTCATTCTGAAAAGTTCACTATATCACAAAATTAATATTAATTACCTGATTTACTCTGGAAGCAGAGACAGATAAAGATGGAAAGTCATTTTCAGATTCCAGAGTAAAGCTATGTTTACTGGATGTCATCCTTTCAATACCAGGTTGTGTTGGGCTTAAAACAAAAGAAAAACTTGTCAGTTTATATCACTGTTTAAAAAACACTACAGCCCAACAGCAGCAGAAAGGATAGGGAACTTCATAGAAATCATATCTGGCATTTAGTCTTGTTTTTTTTTTCTCCGAAAATCTACAGAAATATGCATTATTTTATGAGGAATCCAGTATTATATGTCAATGTATGACTGAATAACATCCAAAGAGTTGTCAGTGTTGGATGATTTTTTTACCCTAATTTAGACAATGATCATGGCATTATTTTAGTACATTATCTATGGAATACTCATCATTCCCAAACTTTTTGTGAAACCTGTGAGGAACTGCTGAGCCAATAAGCCACAATCTCGAAGTGTTTGTTCTTGTCAAGATGGAAAGAAAGCCAGATTCCAACCTAACCTGTAAATGTCAAAGATGTTACAAATGAAGCATGTGTGGATGTGATCAAGATGGCACACAAACTGCTCAAAAACCCATAAGAGAGGTCAAAGAAGTATCAACAGAGGAGATCAAGCACCTGGAGAGTAGTATGTCTGCACACAGGAGCAGTAAATTTCTGGGTGTATCTGACAACTTGCCCTCAAATGGGAAAGAAAGTGAAGGTGATTTGGTGTGGTACAAATCTCAACTATGCAGAGGAGAACAATTCAAGAACAGAGAATACAAAAACTCTTTCTGAATAAAATACAAGAATAAGAGGAGTATTAATATAATGACAAAATAACATGACCATAGCTTGTAGATGGTACATTTTGGTAGGATAAAAACATATTAATGACTACTCAGAACAAAGAAAACAGTATGGCAAAATGATCCCTTGATCATGCCCTACACAACCACATATGTTATTCTTAGGCATCCTGCATTTATGGGACACCCCACCACTTACCAAAATAGTAATTTTCTGCTGTTGAGTCAGAAACTGATTGTTAATGAGATAATCCTAGCCACTTTTCTATGATAAATTTGGACAGTAATACATTATTAAACAATATAATCAAGATTTCTAAGACTGTCTTATGACAATGGTAAATTTTGACACTAAATCACATTGTACAACAAAAAAAAACAGCTAAAATATTGTAATTTATAAGTTGAAAAGCACAGCTGTAAGCTTGCTCTTGGTGTTAAATTTTTCAAATTTCACAATAATAAAATTGGAGTAAACCTTTTAACTGCACACATGAGAGATACTTTTGCTCTATAACAAATCATAGGATTTGTATTTACTCAGAAGCAAAATGTTGGAAAATAATTTATTCTTTCAACTCAAGCATGTTCATGCTCATTTCCTTATGAACTTACTCTCTTGCATACAAAGTAATAACATGTATTCATCAAATACATTTAACTTCATCATTTTTGGTGACTGGCTTAAAAATAGTTAATGAACTACACAACCCTGCAGTACGTTAAATTATGGTTCAAGTGATAGACTAAACACACAAATAAAATCATTGGGTTTTTACACTTCTCAAATGAATGATGTTAATTATATATATCATACATTTTTTTTATACAAATTGAATTATGTACCTGCTTTAATTTCAAGTATTGTTTCAAAAGTGTACAAGTGTTGAGCATCTTTGCTTCTTTATAGTACATTCATCTTTATTAAGAAAAATAGTATAACCATGCCTTGTTCACCTGTCAATTTATGGTAAAAACTATGGTTTCATTTCAATTCACTGTAGTTCCATTTCATGATTCAATGTAATTTTTACTGTGTTCAGTATTATTCCTACTTGTTCCTTCCAAAGTTTATTTATCTGCTTCTAATTACAGTTGAAAAGGTATGTTCAATTATCACTGTTACATGCTTGTTTTAACCCTTTCACGACAAGTAGGTTCAAAAGTGCACATTACATAAAAACTTTAATTAAACAACTTTATTATCAATTTATATGAATAAACTTGGTATCAAAACATAGATAATAAATCAAATTTTAATATTATATATATATTTCAAATTACTAATTTTATAAGTAAATATCTAAAAAAATCTTCAATCTCCCCTAGTATGAGAATTGTGACAACTTTTCTCTAGGTGTTCTCCTTCTCTAATTTATTTACCACCCTTCTCTGAAGTATGAAATTTAATGTAAATTACTTATTATAATACAAATATTACTAAAGCAAAGTCCACTTTTCATAGCCTTCAAACTTACTTGTTTATGGAGTCATAAACTAGAAAATTAGACTAATCTGCGATGCCCATCTGTCATATCCTCGCTTTCACATATTGCCAATAATTCTCTCTCTCACAATATTATTTATAACCAATAAAAAGGCAAAGTTTTAATCCTATCAAATGACATAATGCCACACAGTTTTCATTCAGAGTACTGTAAATTTTGTCTTCAGTTTGAAAGTTTCTCAAGGCATTGAAATTGAGCAGCTAAGGGAATTAATTTAAGCCCTTCGTCTTAGAAAGCCAGTTAACTTAAAATAGTTATAGGATATTATATGCTTTGTATGTGTGTGTTATTATTTTGTGTTCTTATTTGCATTATCTAAGTTATTAATCTTAGTGTACTAGTATCATTATTCCAAAAAGTATGCTTAAATGTTATGGGCAACTGACAACGAAAAAAAAAAGGTCAAACATAAGTACTATATTTCTTGTTTTTTTATGTATGTTTTTTTATTAGGTTAGATTAGGCAAGATAATAAACAATAATAATAAAAATTCTCTATCAGGTTTGCTTGCAAGCAGCTCATGCATTACATCATTACAATAAAATAACATGAGCTAAATGTTCAGTGATATACAACTTCAGTAGCAGGGTTATCAGCTAGACATAGTTCAAAGGGCAACGAAACAAAATTATGCATAAACAGATGTAATTTTACAAGCCCTAAGCTATTCAAGATAAATAATTGTAGTATTCTGTTCGAATCTGTAGTCATTCTATAAAGAAAAAAGGGTAATTTAGATTTATTTACAATTTTTTTTTATGGTGGTTAAAGTTTAGTCAAATTGAGAAAGTCTATACAGAGTTGGGATGGAGAAAATAACAGATAAAATATTAAGTTTTACTGAGGAAAAAAGTTTGTTTGATATTTATTAAAAAGGTTTTAGAAGTTACACAAATGAAACTTGAAATTTTCAGATGTATTTTTAGGCTTAACATGAAAATCAGTTTGCACTAGAAGCAGTCAACACTGGCTCTCTCTCTCTCTAATATATATATTCACTAGCAAGTCTTTAGTAAAATTTTTTTATTAACAATTATGATTTTTTTATGTAAAAAAATAACTTGTAATGTTTTCTGAAACCTTGCAAATTTTGTGAACAGATATAAAACACATTAGAAGTTATAGTATGGAAACTCAGATGATTACATTGTGGTTATGAGGTTGGTCACAATGACCAACCCGGTATGGATAAGAAAAAGAGCTAAATAACTAAATAACCTGCACTATCAGTCAATTTTGTTTAAAATGTAAAGAGAGTATAATATCAATCTTTTTTTCATCTGAATGATGCATTTATCATGCACAACAAGTTAACCAATTGTTTTTCAACAGCTGTTGTACTTGCCACATGGTAAAGCCAGAAAAGTGGCACCACATTCATTTTGCAAGATTAAGAAAACTTTTGCCAAAAGCAAGTATTTTATAATTTTCAAAATTGGTCAGCAGAGTGAGCTGCAGAAAATCATATTACATATGACTGATGATATCTTCTTTTAGGAAAAGAAAGCGTCTAAAACATGCAACAACAATATGAGTATATCTGTATCAACAAGAACTAATGAAAAACAGACTGCTTTTAAAATGTCATGACTTATGATTTAAAAAACCTTAACAATGACTAAGATATATATATGTATATATATATATAAACACTACATGAACAGATAAATACTGTAGTCATGATGTAAACTACTTATTTTTTCAATAAATATACACCTTTTTTTCTAGATCAATACTATCTAAATGAATAAGAAACACTACTTTTGCAATATTTTACTCAGACTACACAAAAAATATAAAAAACAAATCACCTTGGATATCCATGTAAGAAGGGACAGGTAACTCCTTTGAAGCAAGAACTTTCTTCCCAGAAACGACATGTAATACCTGCCAGATCATGAGAAAACTTGCAGTCTTTTCTTCGACAGCTTCCTTCAAGATAAAAGGTACAAGGTCGTTTCTGAGGTGGAATTCCTGTGAAGTTGTTTTAAATTAATGTTTTTATTTTTTGACAGTTTTTATATGTAGTAAAACTCAATTTCTTATTATATGATATCTTCATCAGAACTAAAAAAAGAAATGAAAATGGATGTGTGTAATATTATAATCATATCAACCTTAAAAAAGCACAATCAAATTTATTGCACAATTTCAAAGAAATTGTTACTGGTTACTATCTATACAGTTTAATTTTTAATCAGTAGTCAGAAGAACTTTTCTGCAAAATATTTTTAAGATAGGTTTACTTGCCTTCCACTTTAACAAATTAATATCTTAACTCTATCCTGCCTGAATGAAATATTGAAAACAAAATCACAAGTTTTGATTTTAGCATTCTTCAAATGAAAACGTTAGTGTTTGTGAATTTCTTTAATTTTTTTCAGAGGATGATATGACATTCATAGCCTCCAAGAAGACTGGTTTGTTTTGAATTTCATGCAAACACGAAAACTATCTGCACTAGCCGTCCCTAATTTAGAAGTGAAAGACTAGAGTGAAGGCAGCTAGTCATCGGCACCCAACACCAACTCTTGGGCTACTCTTTTACCAACAAGTAGTGAGATTGACCAAAATATTATAACACCCCCCAAGGCTGAAAGGGTGAGCATGTTTGGTGGAATGGGGATTCGAACCTGCAATCCTCAGATTGTGAGTCAAGCACACTAACCACCTAGCCATGCCAGGCCACTCCAAGAGGAAACTTGAAATACTTTTGAAAAAAACAACACTAATTTGAATATTGTAACTCCAAAACAAATGCAGTTTTATTGATTTTAGCCAATCATTGTTTCTCAACCATGGTTGTCTTGGTATTATTTAACTACATAAGCCTCAGCCTTGAGAATTCATAGGTTAGAAGAAAATATATTTGTGAACAACTTCTGCCACAACTGTAGTCCTGATTCTTTTGTTAATGTTTGCAAAAGCTTGCTTTATCATTTCATACTTCATTGGAATTATGTTGCAGTATGACAGGAAAAAGAAACTTTATGTGGAACAAGATGAGGTGGGCTTAGTTAGGTCATTTTGTACTGGACTGTATCAAGTTTTATTTCACCAACAAGGCTGCTGTGTTAGGCTGTGTTCACCTTAGGCCTTATTGGCTAAGTAACTGCCTGAATGAACAATAGAAAAATCACTAAAAATAAAAAAGTAAATATCAATAAATTTAAAATGGTTTAAAACTTACTACATATATTACAAGAAACCTGATTAACAAATTCATAAAAAAAGTAGGTTTGTTTATAATTTTGGTATTATAAAAAAAGTTATTTTTATTGTATAAAAGTGATTATAGTATTAGCTAGATTAATACATAACATTAAACTTTGTAACACTAACCAATATTTGTATGTGTTTTTAAAATTGGTTTTTGATGGTTGTTTTTTGCCCATTCAAGCAGTTATTTAGGCCAATATGGCTTATTGTAAAGAAGGCCTAATACAACAACCTTGTCAAGTGCAAAAATGACTTAACGAAGCATAACTCATCTTGTTCCACAAAAAAACATTTATTTTCCTATCATACTTCAACAACATAATTCAAATGAAGTATAAAATGATAAAGTAAGCTTTAAAAAATTATATATGCCTATAATTGTATTGGAAGTCATTCATAATCACCCTTTCTTTTAACAATATTACCAAGCTAAGCTTTTATCACTGTGCTCTGACCTTTATGCTAGTCTTTGCTTAACTGAAAGCCTTATTGGTTTTTACAGTTGAAAAGAATCGAAAGAGCTTTCATGGCATGCTTAGATCAGTAGCCTGTGATTTCTTAAAGCTGAGATGCAGGTAATTACATCCCATCATGACAACCGAGGTTGAGAAAAGATGATTGTAAAACATTGATAAAACTACACTTGTAATCAAGTTAGAAGGATAAATTAACGTTATATGTGTAGAACTACAGGAGACTACAAGTGGCATATTATGCTCAGATAAAGTTAAAGAAATTCACAAACACTAACAATTTCATTGGGAGTGTCCTGAAATCAACCAAACATCAAAATTTGCAATTTACAAAAAAACTGTGTATAACTTTGAATAAATAAAACTTTCTGATTAAAAAAATTTCAGCTCTGAAGTATTTTTTTTAACGTGTATGAAGAAACAACTACAATGGTGCAATTTTGCCCTTGAGGCAGACTGAACCCATCCAACTGTGAAAAAGAGTTAAAAACATGATGAAATGTACATAATATTAGAGTTCAGCAAATGCTATTCATTCATTAACTGCAAAATTATAACTAGGATAAGAAATCACAGCAGACTTTTACTTACCCAAGTAGCTATTTCACTAATATATTTTATGCAATGCTACCTACTAAATTCAAGTTTCTGATACAAGAAAAAAACTGGAGTATACACAGATTGATAATAAATAATCTACTGTCCAGCCCAGTAGAGAACATTCTCTAATAAAGACAATTACTTCAACCAAAACTTACCAGACTTTGGTTTTTTTCTACGGGGCACTTGGACACCAAAATAACTACTATCTTTTCTCCACTCTTCTTCTAAATCACATGAAAAAAAAACATTTTCTGCAGGAAGGGAAGGAACAGAATGGAAAACAGCATCATCTTGATCCTGCAATAAAGAAATCCCATTATGTAATTTAAAGTACGTACTAATCAGCCTCGTAGCACTTTTGAGGATGTTTAACAGCTTTCTGTGTTACAACAACATGCAGGTTAGGTAATTTATTCTTAAAAACCTTAGTCATACTGTATTTCAAGTCGAGCTATAAAAATTTATTTTAAAAAAACTTCACTGGTTTATTAAAAATATAAAACTTAATTGAACAATGTGATTATCAAAAATAAAAGAACTACTCTTGCTTTATATTAAACTGTGATAATAGCATCAACATTTCTCAACTAGAAATAAACAATACATTTTTGAGTGTTAAAAATATTATTCTGACATAAATTGTTGTAATTACACTAATTAAATGGTTGAGTAAAAGTTTACAAAATACATAAAGAACACTAATCACCCATTATTGTCACAGATAAAAAAAAATACAAATCACCGTTTGTTTTTAATGGATGAGAACAATAAATTTTATTGTTCTCTATAACGTATAATTTTGCCTTATTATACACATAAAACAGGATATAAAAAATTATAACTGTATTTTCGTTTTGTTAATTTTGTTTCAGAATTTTGCATAAAATTACATAAGGGCTATTTGTGAATACCCATCTCTTATCGTAAACATAAATTTGTATGATAGAGGTCAGTTTAAAATACTCAGTCAACTCCAGTATAAAGAAAACAAAACAGATTTATGATGCAGTGAAGTTGTATCATTTTTAGTCCATCCTTTATACATTACGCAAAATAATTAAGGGATAATTGAATATCTCTATATTCTTGCTATGACAATTGACAACTATACTTTTAACAAATGATGTCAATGTGATATAATACACAAGTGTCTATTACTGGAGTTCACATGCACGAATATTCATTTGGTAATACAAACTTTTCAATCTAATACATTATAAGAAAATGTTTGTTAATAAAATGTAAAACCACATTAAACAATAACACAAACCATACATGGATGTGGCATACTTAAAATTAGTGAATTAAACAGATGCTTCGAGTTCACCAACATCACTTGAAGGTGAATTGTGTTCCACCTAGCACCTTCTCACAACCTCCCATATATTAGTTAAATTCACCACTTAGTGTGATAGTCAATCAATTCATTTGATACCCGTTTCTTTTGGGAGATTGCTAACCAGTTGAGCACAGTGAAGATGTGCATTATCATTCATTAGAAGTTCTGACTAACTATTATATTTAAAACATATTTCTTATCCTTCTTAGCTTAGACAATGTGAACCTAGTTTTTCAATTGTTCACACATGCATATAGGTTTCAAAATAGAGCCTGTTATATAATGTAGCTAACTTCTTACTGCTTTAATTACTCATTGTCACAGATAAATCCCTTAGGATGTTGTTGAACTCATCTCATAGATGTCAGTGGAGGACTATATGGATCATATAGTACTGTACTGAACATCAACTGTGTAGAGGTTATGTCCTCCCTATTTTCACTTATAGGATGACATGTGATGTGGAAAGTGAGAACACGTGGATAGATGACCCCATTGTGATTTCTGTAGAATAATTAACTTTTTCTAAGTCTTAAGCAAGACTTTCTTCTGTCAATAGTAAGACAGAAGTGCTATCCATCATTTCTATGTACTTATCTTTGACTTTTGTTGTAAGTAAATAAAGATTGTTTTTCAATTTGTTTGATATTATGTTTAGTTTCTTTTCTTCATCTTATGATCAAGGGGAGGAGTTCAGTGTATACTGTGGTCTGAGTCAATAGCAAGATCTAAGAGAAGTCCTCTTCTGGACATGTCTTTTGCAAAAGCCATGTTCACAATCTACATCCAGCTACAGGAACAGGAAAGGGAATAACAGCCTGTGACTTACATAGCTGTTGATCAAGTTCTACACAATGACAGCACAAAAAGTATGGACAATTGAAAGTCATAGCAGATATGCTATTTGGGGAGATCTCTATAGGGGACCCAAGTTGCTGCTGACCAGTTGGATCAAAACCCAATGCTGGTCATTACCATTCATGGCCAGGCTGGATATGCCACTGATGGATGATATCCACCAGCCAGGGGTGCTTGTTGCCAGCACCAAGTTGTGGAGCAGACAAAAGCCTCTCCATGCTGGAAGATCTGTTGCCATAACCAATGCTGACGGTACAGAACTAGAAAATGAGTTTCCTATGGTAATCCATCATTCTGATGTCAAGAAGTGGGAACCAAAAGTTCATCTGAAAGTTAAGGTTCCAAAGCACCAACAAAATATAACAGTTATGATGGTTACTTGATTGAGATATGAAGTGATGTTTCACAACAGGATGTATTACCCCTCTTGCCCCAGTTATCCTTTACTGCGCATGACACACGGTTTTAGTGTCTTACATTCAAAATTTTATTGCGCTACTTTTTGTTTACGTTATACCAATTAGTATAGCATAAAATCTTAGCTAATAATCCATATTTTAATAGTATACAAGTTTTAAGTTCTTAATTTTATAAGGAAATATTTAAAAAAAAAACTAGAATTTCCCTTAGTGTGACATACGTGACACATTTTCTCTAGGTATCTTCTCATCTCTATTTTATCAACCCCCCCCCAAGAAACTATGAAATTAAATGTAAATTACTCATTATAGAATCAGCATTCCTCAGAGAAACCATAATTATTATAGCCTCCACGGTTCAAAGAGCAATCAAAAGGACAATAAAATTTAATTATAAATAGATGTATAAAGTTATGAGTTTAAAGCTACTTAGGATAAAGGAATGTAGTTTCATGCCACATTTAAAGTCATTCTAGAAAGAAAAGGATGGTAATTTAGATTTATTTCAATTTTTTTTTGGTAGTTACAAGGTCAAAGTCAAATTGACCAATCTTGTATAGAATTGGGGTAGAGAAAATAAGAGATAAACTCTTACTGAAAACAAATATTTGATATATATATATTTAGGATGTTTTAGAGATTACACAAATGAAAATTGAGATGTTTGAGACGAAGAAAAGTATTTTTAATCTTAACATGAAAATCACTTTGCACATGGACTATTCAAAACAAATACTTGATATATTCAAGGACAAATTATTTTTAGTTTATCAAAAATACTTCACTAAAAATGATTTTATAATGTTTACTGAAAGACTGACAAAATTTGTGAAGATGTACACACAATATCAAAAGTTAGTAGTATCAAATCTATAAAAACTCCATACGAGTACAAAAAAAGGTTGCGTGGTCAGTCAAATTCACCAAGCCCGTGTGGAAAGAGTTAACTAGATATGATAAGTGATTATAGCATCATGTCAAAGAAACAGATTTTGATGAATTTCACTCAATACCTCAGAAAGGAAGAACTGCAAAATCTTTTTAACTTGCAAATGTAAATGAAACTGTTTGAAGATTGACAGGAACTTTCCTAAAGGCACATAGTTAATTTTGATTTTTTGTACTAAAAATTCTTTATTTATTGTAGTTATTTGCACTCACACTCTGAACAGTTAAAGTGCAAGGTGATTTTCATGTTAAGTATAAAAATACTTTTTTTATCTTAAAAGTTTTCAAATTTCATTTGCATAACCTCTAGAACCTTCTAAATGAATAGCAAAAGTGTTTTTAAGGTAAATTTTTATATTTTATTTTTCATTTTCCCTGTCATAGCTACTAACAACAATGAACAGTGCAATGAAATGTTTCAATTAATAAACAGAAATATGTTCATACCTTTTAACTCTTTGTCAAATAACCTTAAAATATTTTCTTTTGGTTATATTTGTATTTTCATATTTTTTATCTTTTCACTTAACTTATTTTGAATATTTTATTTTATTTTCCTGTCCTTTACCATTTACTATTCATCTGGAAACATGTCAACAGGTGCCCTCAGGGCATATTACAATATCTTTGGCAGATATGTGCAAAACTTTGGCAAAATGTTTTTGCACTCACATACCAAGAAGAAATTTGAGTTATATCAAAAATATGATTAAACCTTTCAAATATGCATTTTAATACATAATTAACTAAAATATAAAAGTAAAACCTAAATACAATTTAACTGTTTATCTAACCAACATATAGCTATGTGATAAACAATACTAAGTGCTAGTAAGAACAAAAGCAGAAAATAATGCTTTGGTTGTTTGAAGAAACTGGTAAAGAATACTGCATGCCAGTTTAAAATAACCATTGGGCGATTGTAGTTCAAAATTAGCTATTTTTATTGGTTAAACATGTACGTCAAGTCAAATAAGTACATGTCATTTGTAAATCTCAATTCTAAGTATAGAAAATGGGCATGAATACTGCCAAATGGGTGGTAATATTTATTACTTGTGTTCTTTTAATTGACCAGAAGAAATTCAAAATAAGTACAAGTAAATAATACTATAAATGTAGTTTTGTGTCTAGAAATACATGTACATTGTAGATGTAGTATTATCCAAGTAATAGAGACAAAAAGTTAAGATTTGTGAATGCTCATGCATCACATGACAACAAAACTGAAGTGTAAGTATTTGTCTAAAGGTTTCTTTTGAAATAAAGGAATTAAAACTTAGATAACATAAAACTTAGAATTATAATGTACATGATAATGCTAATTTCATTAACATACATTGATAGTAAAGTTATTTAATTATATTTAGAATGTAACTCAATAAAAGTGTAACATACACAGAAAGGAGTTTAAAGAGTATGCAGTTGTCAAAGAGTTAATTTACAACAAGCTTACATACCTCTACGTCCAAAGAATAATAATCTTTAAATTTTTCTTTTTTCCTGTTGTTCCAGTCTTCCAAATACTTTTGGTAACTTTCACATGGTGCTCCAGTTGGGTTAAGATAAAATGTAGCAAAAGGTGCATAAGTATCTATATAGTCCTCCTCACAATAGTTTCTTGCTTTTTTTTCAACTATATCTTCCACAACTGAACAATCTTGAAATTCACTTTCTGTTTTCATATCAATCACTTCTTCCCATTTGTCTTTCACACGAGTTATGTCTCTTAAAAGTTCTTCTTCTTCAGCTTCTATTTCTTCCCGCAACTGGTTTAAACAAGTTCTGTGGAATTTTCTACTTTTTTCTGGAACAAGAAAAGCTTCTAAGTCAGGCATAATTTCAGTGGTCTCAGATATCCAGGCTGTTTTTTCACAATCATTGGTACTCCACTTCCAAGTGTTGTCAATATGTTCCCAGTGAACTTCTTCATCTGTCTTAAATACAATAGGATTAATATCTGGCACATGAGGAGAATAGATAGTTGGTTCATTTGCAGTTTCTTCTTCCCATAATTTACCACTTTCTCGAACATCCTGAGGAAAACTGTTAATTTCTGTATTTGTTCCCTTATCTTCGTACAATTCTGTTGTCCTTGACAAAGAACTGGAAACCCGAATTTCAACTTTATCATTTAATGATTCAGAGCCAGATTCATTTTCTTCAAGATCAAAGGCACCAGTTAGAGATACAAGTTCTTCAAAAGAAGAGGATATTGTACGTCTTCTTTGCTTACCGTATTGTGGTGAACTATTGTGCTCAAGCTGGATAATATTTTTATCAAAACCTCTAGAATCAAGACCATGATCATCTTGAGTTTGTTCTTTATTTGTTATGGACAGAGCTGGAAAAAAATCAGGTAAATTTTCATTTTGTTTTACAGAAAGGGACAAAAGTTCTACTTTACCACTGTTATCTGCATCACATTCATCTTTGATTGGCTGGAAATGTGTTCGAGGTGAAGTGAGAAGGTTTTCATCTTCCTCTTCAACCTTAGTGTACCATTCTGAGGAGCATCTGAAGGAATCATTTAAAATTTCCATCATTTTCTCTTCTTCTTTTTTTTTTATTTTGTTAGAAGGAACTACCTCTACAAATTTACTCTCTCCTTTGTGGTGTGTGAGTGTAGTACAGGATCCCCAGTTCTGCAAGTCAAGGCAGTCTTTACATTCCAAATGCTGATCAAACAAGCTGCTAAACACATCAAAAGTATTGTGAGCAGAAAGAAAAGGAAACCAACAATCATCATTATGACTTTCAAGCTGCTGATTGATAAGGTCTGGTGTATCTCCCCACACGTTAGCTTCGCTTCCAATGTAATTTATAATGGGACTCTCCTGTCTAGAATTATCGTTAGATGATATTACTATTCCATCATCCTGTTCCAAACTTTTAAGAAATGCATCTGGATGAAGTGACAATATCTCATCTAATTCTTTATCATCTGGTATGTCACCCTTATGAAAAGGGGAATCTTCATGAATACTTGAATACAAATCTGACAACTGATGATTTTCAAAATTACAAGGACTATTTTCTAAGCCCATTCTAGCAGCAATGATTCCTGAAATTATACCAGCAGCAAGGTTTCGATGAAGAGATGGGATATAAAAATGTGTTAAGCTTGAAGCATTGAACATATTTAAATATATTAGATCATCATATCCTGCTGACCAAACAGAAGATCCCTGGATTGGATTCAGGTTTCCCCTCATGGTCTCAGGAGTTAGAAGCTTATTAGTGTTTGTTAACATTGAAGTAAACATTTTTAGTGAAAGCTCCACTTGCTGTGGATTAGCTTCAAAACCAGTTCCAGGCATATCTTCATTCTTACCCCAGATTGCAGCAACACTGTCATTAAACTTGTTTACTAGATTATTTAATAACTGTTTATCCAAAGCTTCACATTCTGAAATAGAGAACTCTCCAGATCCCAAAGACAGTTTCCACTGTTCCAAAGCAACTGGGCTGTCTGTTTTCATATCAGAATCATCAACAGGTTTCAGCGAATTGTTTTTAGACAATAACTTTTTAATTTTATCTTTATTTTGAGTCTGAACATTTTCTTTATCATCTAAAAACACTTCAGTAGTCTTTTTCGGACATTCATCTTCTGCTAGGAACCCACTTTTAGTATATGAAAAGGCTTCTGTCACTGGATTTTCTTGAATATTTGAAAATATATTAAATGGTGAATATCGAAGACTAAGGGGGACTCGAGAACAACCATATTTCATTTTGGGTACAATAAAAGATGGTTTCCAATTTTCCAATTTTGCATCAGCATTAGTCCACCTTTGCCCAATCTTTGGATCAGTACACTTTTCCTCTGTGCCTCCAATGAAATGACACCAAGTGTGTCTTTCCTCCCCTTCACAAAAACCAGAATTCTTTTGTGTGTTTACTTTTGTTTCTGATCTGTTATCTTCTTTCATATTCACAATACTTTCCTCCAGTTTAAAAACTGCAGTTTCGTATGCATGTTGAATAATTTTTCTACCATCCCATACACATTTTGATGTGGTTTGTCTCTCCTGCTGTGGGCACAGCTTGGTCTGTGGTTCAGATTTGCCACTAAGAGAAGGAAAGGCTGCATAGTACCTTGAAAAAAAAAAAACAAGTCTGCTTAAGAATACTTTAGAAACTGGAAAAGGAATGTACTTACCCAAATTTCACAAAGCTAATATACTAACTTAAGCAGCAAAATATCATAAAAGTGCCCAAAGAACTATTACAGCATCTAGTCAGTGTTTTCTCATGCTAAGGCAACCTAGGCTGTGATGTGTCCTGCTGTATATTTGCAAAGTAGATAATTATCACATTATGACAGGTATTAGATAATTTACCGTAAAAGTATAGTAATAATAAGCAACTAAAACTCAAGTTTAGGTCTAACTCACAAATGACTAAACAAACAAAAAAAATTAAGTTATTTTTGCTTTTCATTATTACAGAAAATATACTTGTAAGACAATGTAGAACCTTTTACTGCATTTATTCCTTCAAACAATTTGAAGTGTTAACAGAATCAAGAAAATTATATACTGAGAAAAAAAAATCGTACTTCTGGGCTTGCTCTTGAAGTGTTGTTGACTTTTGCTCTTTTCCATTTTCAGAATCTGTTTTCTCACTGTTCTTTTTAATATTGGTTGTTACTGAAAATAAGTTAATAAATTAATCAAGTCTGCAAAACTAAAAAAGCTGTTCAATTAGTCTTTTCCTTAATATTTCAAATTACTAAGAGTAATACTCTCATAAATATCATTCACAATTTTAGTAATAGAGAAAAATCAGAATCCCTTAAAAAAATCCATTTGTCAAAATACTATTTCAATTTGGCAAATATTTATTTACTGACAAATGGTTTACACAATTGCCAATGGCTGGAATGAAAGTTTTATTAATTTTAAGAACCCATGAGTGAAAGCAAAAGAGACTATGTTATGTCAACCATACTACATTTGCCATATCCAGTGCCGATGAGACCTTTTGCCCAATACCAGGGCTCATGAGACTTGCTGGAATACGACAGACATAGAAATGGTCTAGGCATTATATATATCATCAATTTTCATGAACAATGACTTTTATGGTGTGAACCAGATTAAGCGTGTGAATTATATTTATTATCAATTTTATTTATGTCACTTACCCATGAGGAGTTTTATTGTAAAAATTAATAACACATTTAAAAATTATTTACTTTAATTAACACCAATTATCCATTTTATATTCATTGTTATTATTCTTTTATTTAACTTTATTATCATTCATAAAACCTGGCAAACCAGCAAGCTAGTCTTCTTCCTGAAGCAAGTCAAGTAACCATATCTAAATAAAACTTAACACCCAGATAATGTAAAAATCAAACTATACCATTTGAAATTACTTAAAATATATAAACTATTTATTGAAGTAAGGTGGACCTCAACTGGATTCTTTTGGGATTAATAAATGACTTGCTAACATACTAAGAAAAACGACTGACTACCTAGTCAATGAAGCTTATAGCAGTATTGAAAAACCTTCCAAACTTGAAAAGCTATTGAAGACGTACCCATAAATTAACAGCTCAATGTAAAACCCACAATTCAACAAAAAAACTTAAGTTCACTTCTTAAGGCAATTAAAATCAAAATTAAAAAATAATCACAATACCAAATGTGCTTTGCTTCACTCCTGCTACACCACTTTATAGCAGAGGTAAAATCAACTCCCTGGTTCCTACTTTACAAGATGACTGTATTTTTACTGACTTAAACAGCAGCCTAACTTACAAAATACCTAAACCTTGGCTGATACAGAACCTTTTCATTTTTTATGTTCTTAATCACATTCAATAATTCCAGATATTCTAATGAGCTTTAACAACATTTTTCACAAAATTTCAGAACATTCTCAATTAGGCTAAATCTGTTATAGCTTCAATGAATTATACTGGCCATAATATTTTTTTTAACTTCTTCTACACAATGATAGTTTCTAAATGCTGCCATTTTACATTACAATCTATAAGTATTTCTATGGAGTCACAATAAATATTCAAACACCTTAAATTTTCTATTTTATGGACCTCACAGGCTTTTGTATAACATTCTCCATTGATTTTTTTTTGTTTTAGCTTTTTTCTTGAAATATTTTGATTAAGAAACAGAGGTGAGCACTCATATAAAAACTGAAATAGTTACTTTAACTTCTATTTTTAATCAACACCATAAAGTCTTTAACCCTTTTGAGACAGGTCATGGGTGAAAAGGCCATGTCATCTCGTTTGTTGACTTGCATTCAAAATTTTAATGATCTACTATTTCATGAATTTATGTCAATAAGTTTGATTATAATTCAAATTTTAATATTATACATTATCCAATTTCTTAATTTAAAAGTTAATATTAAAAACACAGATAAACATCAATGCAGCATTGGTTCAAATTAGATGTTTCTGAAGTCAAAATACTTATAGTTTTGTATGAATTAGAAACTCAAATTACTGATATTGACAAGCTAGAATATAAAATAAGAACGTCTTATTATTTCTATTTGCTAAGATATTGCTCATGTAATAAATCAAACACAGTGGAACCCCATCCACCTCTTTCCATTTTTGGAAATGCCCCCATGTATACACTTACTTCTGTATATGACATGAATAACCAATCGGAAGCTCAGAATGTCCACCTAGTGGCTTTCTCATCCATTTTAATGGGCTTGGACACCATTTCTTTCTTTTGAATCAATATTTCAAGGATGTAGTGTCATTCATTTGCTCGAAATTTCATATTTTTTAGACCAAAATACATCTTAATCACTAAAGCTTGATACATTATAGTGGAATTCTATGGTATTGATATTGTAATTTATGATTTGTTTAGTTATTCAACTGTATATGTAAAACCTTAAAAAATTATTTTGTTTCACATCCTCAACGAGCAAAATTTGATAAGGCTTAGCAATCTCTGTCAAGCAGCAACCGAGTACAAAGGTCCTAACTAGAAGAGATAATTGTTTGCTTTACTTCTTTAGTTACTGTTCTATGTTTTAAGAAAAATAAGTTTAAGAACTTATTTCAAAATAGCAATAATCTATGCACATATATAATGTATAATAATTGAAATGTACAAAATACTACTCTATTAAAACACAGCCAAGACAAGTTACTTTGTACAGACCAAAGGTTAGCTTTATGTTATTGGATATGGTAACATGAGTGCATGTGTGCCACGTCATTGTAACTTCTGTATTGTTAGCCAGGCATGACTGAAAGGTCAATATAATAAAAATAATAAATATATATAAATGTATAATGTTATGAGATTTAAGCTTATTTAGTCTAAATATTTATGTTTTTGTGTTATAATATGTAGTCATTCTAGAACGAAAAAAGCATAATTTATAATTTTTTCCCAATTTTTTATTGAGGTTACGAAGTCAGTCAAATCAAACTAACTTGTACAGAAATACAGTATTGAAAATAATAAATAAAATATAAAGTTTTTCAAAAACAATTTGATAATTATCTGGAGATTATAAAGATTTTGCTTGTGAAATTTGAAAATGTTCTAATGCATTAAAGTATTTTTAATCTTAAAATCAAAATTGCTTTGCATGTTAGATAGGCAGCATGTGAAAAAAAAAAAGGCACGAGAAAGACATTATTTTACAAATTTGAAGACTTAATAAAAAAAACTGATATTTTGTGTACTAAAGCATTGTAATGTTTATTGATAATGTACCAAATTTTGTTAACATTTGTTTAATAATTTAAAAGTTATAGCATGAAAACTATAACAAGCACAAAATGGTTACGAGGTTGGTCTTAACGACCAAGCCCATGCTAAAAGAGTTAATGTTAACATATTACATAACTGCTAAATTTTAAAATAATCAAATATACTAGTATGTAATATAAATAAGACATCACAAATATATCCTATGGGATGTATTATGTGATAATCATTTTATCTATTTTTTACTTCAAGCTGTTTTGAAGATAAAACATTTTTCACCAAATCTTAATCTTAGAGAATTGACAGCTCACAAAATGGCTATCACAACATCTTATTTTTTTCAGATGATCTTCAAAGCCGCAATAATATTTATCAAAACATTTGCTAATACAGTATTTTAAAAAAAAATTATTTTATTTTATTTTTCATTTGCTACATACTACAATAGGTCACAAACTTAAATAAAATGTAAACTACAATGCTTTTAGAACTACCACTTCTTTTTTACTATTTTTTATTTTATTTTAAGAAACTTAATGAAAGTACAAATAAAAGCCTAAAACTATTAACTAATCACTAAGAATCAAGTTAAATAAGTGTTGTTCTTTTCCTATAACTTTAAGTAGAAAAAAATAAGCCTATTTTTGAAAATACCTTCTATAGTGTGGCATGTAATAAAATTCTCACCTGCTTGTTTGCTGACATTTTTTAGTTTTAAACATAATTCTTCCACAAGCATCTCTATGCCTGATTTCTGCAGAGAAAAAAAAAAGTTATGCTCAAGCCACAACCAAAATATTTAATGAGTAATATACAGTTATTGTAACTTCACAAATCATGTTTTTGTTGTATCCTCGATTTCAATTAAGAATTAAAAACATTGCTTACTGCTGCATGAATCTCTTCCTTTCTTTTTACTTTGAATAACAAAATATAACTTATGATACAGTTTCCATATGTAAGGTCACTATCATGTTGAACCCAAGCCTTGCAAAAGTTATAACCTACACATGCTTGAGTTATTGCATGAATACCAGTAGGAAATAGGTGTAAATAAAATAAAGGAAATTCTGAATAATAACCACAAAACTATTCAGTGTTTTGTAAATATTACTGAAACAAATTTACAAAAAAACACAACTAAATTCTTCAGTGAAACTACTACAAATGAAAATATTGTTTTAGCAGTAATTAGATGTACTTAGCTTTTTACTTGAGCTCCACCATGCAAACTATGTTAAAAAACTTTATAATGTAAATACTGCTCTATTCAAGATAATACAAGTATTTAAAAAAATTAGAAAAAAAAGGATAATGTAGGGCTGGCAATGCCAAATAGTACAAACATGGTAGGGAAGAACACACAAAACCATACAAAAGTCCTTGCATAAGTAGCCAAATCTTTCCAAGAAAAACTTTCGTCCACAACTAAATGTTGAATTCCTTTCATTTGCATAAATTCATGTTTAAAAAAAAGCATTGAAACTGAATAATGCTATAAAGTCTTACAATGGCTAATTCTCATAAGCTTGTAACTCAGTGGGTACTTATATAGGGATTTTTGTATGGTTTTGTGTATTCATCCCTACCTTGTTTCTGTATTTTATGGCCTTGCTTTCCCTACATCATCCTCATTTGTTTTGAAAAATTTTTTATTACTCACTTCTCCTCTTTTTTTTTAAATACCAATGATGAATATTTTATAACGAAGGCAGAAGTTTTAGCCTGGCATGATGAGTTGTCTTGATGGACATAATATTGCAACAAATCCAAGCATTGGTGAGCTAGTCCTTCTGATGCCAGATCAGAACAATCGGCAGAACATTTGACTGTTATGTTACTTGCTGGTTCTCTATTCTAGCAATGTTTTTTGGCTAAACTAAAGGTCTTAATAGCTTTTGAAACCTTGAAAAACCTAAGTTAGATGTTTATAAAAATCTCTTAAATTGTTATAAGAGAGATTTGAGACTATGATGAACAATACATAATATGCATCAGCTGTTTTTTTCCAGCCCATCTCTACATACTAAGCACTACTGTGCTTAGTGATGGCTATTCCAGGTATTGAGTTATCTACATTCAACTACATAAATTAAGTGACAACTTAATATGAGATACTGTCCATTTTACAACTTGTATCATTACAACATTTACCAGATAACAAATAAAAAATATATAAATATTTCAGTCACCTGTTCACAGGCAGACTTCAGGCATTCAACTGCTGCACATTTCTTCCTTTCTTCAATATTCAGTGATGAATTACAAGTACATAATGTCTTTGCCTGCTTATGAAACCTTTCCCTCTCCCAACTCTTCCACCTTTTATGCCTAACCTTTGTTGATGGTAACGTATACTGAGTTTGTTTTCCAACCTGTGTAGTAAAACAAGGGGGGTTTGAATTTTACAATCAGTCTTTCAAGTTGGTATATTTTCACATTATCATAAATAGACCAAGATTTGCCAATAGAAATCATATGATATCCAAATAAATGGTATTTTATCCCACCAAATTTATCAACAATAATTAAAAATGAATGGATTTCTTTCTAATCTCACATCGCATTATTTAAACAAAGGTGTTCTGATATCCCTTCCCTTGAAACCAGAGGTTTCACACTCATAAAAACAAGAAATTCAAGGATTTTTTCAAAACTTTTCAAGGACATACAGCCAGATTTCAAGAATATAGGTCTAAAAGTATACTATATCCACTTTTGTGGCTTATACTGAGTCTGACATTAATTTCAGGCAGACTGATATTATGAAGAATACTGATATAGCAAGTGGACTTTGAAAAAAAAAAGAGCCAAATGCCAGATAATATGCATCACATATGGAGCTGGACAATTTAATTATTTACACCCCGAAGATCAATTACATTGATTAGTGTCTAAAATTATGATCAAATTGATTAATGTCACAAAAGTAATCAACTAAGTATCAATGGAAGTTAACATTTTCCTAAATCAAAAATGTATTTCCAGTAATACTACAGCTATTACTCGACTGCCAGAGTTTCTTCCTTTGTCCATCTAAGCATTAGTCTGATTTTTACTGACTTGCTCCAGTCTGTTATTCTCACTTAAGTGCCCCTGGTGTTATCTGTCTTGTGACATTCTCCACCTACGTTAATGCACCCTCTATCTTGGTACTGTATCTAAGCCCCTTCTTTCAATAATATTATCACTTTTTCAAGACTAACCCAATCCACAGTCTCTAACACCCACTCTTAGTGGGGAGGAAGGGCAGGAGAGTGTGAAAGCAGGTAAGTATTATTGGAAATACCCCTTGCTATGACTTTGGGTAACAGATGAATCAGTGGGTAGGCATATAGGTGCAATCCAGCCCAGTCCTGACTGAATGCATCTATTGGCAATGTCTGAGGGTGAAGTACTAGAGATCAAAGTGCCAGTAGTTGAGTGTTCCAATGAGGAGCAAATGCATCAATCATCGCTGTCTCAGACCAGGAGCAAATCTAACAAAAAAACCTCGATGAAGCATCCATTCTGTCAGGAGAATCCAGTTGCACTGAGACATGATGATATGATTGGAGTAGGTCCAATATAGAAGATTTAAAGGTCCGAGTTCCCCCTTGACAGGTAATGTAAGACAACTTTGCCCCTCAACAATTCTCTACCTTGAGACATCATGTGTTACAAAGCAAGAAGTTTCAAAACATTGATGTGTAGGGAAGCTTCGTCATCCATCCATAGGCTCTGGAATTCCTGACCATTGTTCTGTGAAAAGATGGATCTCTGGACAAGATGGTGGCAGAGGAATCCAATCGTAGTACTTTTCTGATCTAACCACCATTCAAGATCAAAGATGTTAATCCCGAATAAGGAGACCTGGGAATCCGGATGATTGCTGTTGATGATCCATTGGTCACAGAGACCAGAGAAGGAATTTCACGTGCACTCCTTCCAAAGGAATGAGGGATACGAGTGATGCCCCTGTCCCCAAAGAAGAAAGAACCATCCATGCATGATTATATATATAAACAGTGATTGCACACATGCATGTAGTTTCATAACATGAAGGATGAATATTCTTGTATAAGCCTCTCTTTAAGAATCATGTAAGACACAGCCAGCACTAGGATAATTTCAGTGTTTTTCCCTATGACTAAAATTGCCAATAAAGCACCCATACATCTTTTTTAACTTGCACTAGGCAATGAACAAGCAATTCAAATTATTGAACCATGTGCACAGTATTTACTAAATATACTATTTTTTGAATGAGTCTTATTCCATAAGACACAAGAAGAAAAACTTGGATGAATTATAATAAAGAATAAGAAGGGCTTGAAGAAGGGCATCTGCTCGAAACATCATACAAAATAAACTAAAAAAAGTTTTCATTTAGATGTGTCAATTTATTCTTTATTATCATTTATCCATACTATTCTTTGGTTTCTTCATGAGTTTATTACACTCCTCTAATTTTACAAACCTGCTGCAAGTTCTTGTAGTTCTGTTGGTGTTTCAAGGAGACATGTTCACATTCAGGTACATCCAGATCAAAACTGTCCACTTGGAAGAGGCTGAGGATGTATCGAGTGTAAACACCATCAATCCCCCGACTCTCCAGCTCCTCCTCCAGCCAGTCTTGTACTGAAGCTGGAGTGCTACTGGATACTAATCGAGGATACTTCATGACCTATAGGTCCTGATTGCTAAAAAGAACATGTTCATAAAATCTTTACATTTCTTGAATTATAAACCAAGTGAAACAAAAAAATACTTAAAACTATTAATTATATGCATATCTCAATCAGGAAGTTTTCAATGAAATTAACAACCTACAAAGACTAATCAAATCTCAGTTTAGACACATTTTAACACTCTCTCTATGCACCATGTCCAAACGGGACATTGGTAACATTGGTCATCCTCAGATCTCTTCTCCTTCAGGCACAAAGAATTTCCAATGTTGATACATTCCTCTATTTAGATAGACTTTTAACACTACAGATGTCCAAATTCTAACCCAAACTTAACCCATTAGAATAAAAGGAAACTTGAAATGGAAAAATAATCTTCAAGACTAAAAAGTAAGCCTCAATATGACATGTCATGTACAACTACATGTTAGTAGGCTATCTACTTATTTTGTGGGTTTTGAGATAAGCTTTTAGTACTTAGGGATGTTGTAAAGAAAAAAAATTAATAATGGAAAAAATGAAAAAGAAATGTAAGCAAGTTATGAGTACATAAAATTAACACAATATAAATGCCTTATACCCCTGCTTTTGCTTCACTTCATCAGGGGTGTAGCCAAGAAAGGGAGTAATCTAAAAAGTTCATTACTTTCTGTTCTTTTTTGTTTAACCCATTAACTGCAGATGACAGATATTTTCATCAGTGAAGTTCTATGGCTCAGCTGCGAATGATGAAAATATCCATCAGTCGCACATATATAACTATAACTCTATTCGAATGACAAAAATTACTGTTTTATTGTGATTGATGGCAACTCAGTTTTATCTGAGAGTCAGAAAACGGCAACTGAGCTGCTCCTGCCACGGTTAATGGATTAATAAACACATGACTGTTTTGACTCTCTTAAGTTTTGAGTACTTTCATTTTACAAGTTGCGTTTAGGTTAAGGTAATTCACTTAAATTATTCATGTCGAAGAAAAGGTCCACATTTGTTTGGAAAAATATCCCCCCCCCCCAACTCTGTAGTACTGGCTATGCCCCTGCCTTGTAATAAAAAATTTAAATGAGACACATTTTGAATCACAGGAGTAACCTTACTGGTGCTTTCCATTTCATGTTTATTCTATGAATTATATCAGTTCTACTGTCATTCATTTACCATGGTAATGAAAGAAAGATAATATATAGTCTTTTAAGCTAAGCAGTCAAGCAACAAAGCATATGTATATTTCCAACAAATGAATACTTTCACCAGTAACGTCATTCTGTTACTAATTCTAAGCATACAAATTTTGATAATGGCATCATAAAAAGTTCAAATATTTCTTTGTCTAGCTTCTTTTTTACAATGTTAAAGTCTAAATAAAAAAAACATGGATTTTACTGTATTTACCTGATAAGCTCAGTAATGTGGAAAACTAAAAAAATCAAGTTGTGAGATCTAAGATTTTATTTTGGGGGGGGGAGCACTTAGAAAGTGGCATTTGTTTTTACATGATGGGATAGGTTTTTATATATGCACACACACATACATTGAACAGGTGCAGATAAATGTATACAGATAGTTAATAGTTATGTAAATAGAAAAATGGATCAGTAATACTTATATAATCTCCCAAAAATGGGTTCACGCGAATTAAAAATACTGGATTAAGTACTGACTTAAGCTTTTATATGAGGTTATAAATAAGGGTTGACAAATACTGTGTCAAATTGCCTGTGGCTTCTCTAAAACAGTATTAATAGGTTCTAAATATATTTCCACAAAATGTAACTTAGTTTATTTAACTAAATTAATTTAACATTCATAAAACATGTTTTAAGTCACACACCACCCTCTATGGATACCATCTTATTTTTAATTGTACCAAACATTACGTATAAGTTCATGTAGTTACAATATGTTGACGAAGCAATATCATTACTTTAGTAGCTTGTGATTGTACAAGAAATATTCAACAAGTGATATGTAACACATTAAGAAGCAGTGCCAGTGTAATGCTATGATTTAGCAATACATATAAAGACTTATTTTTGATTAAGACCATACATTTTTAAAGCATTAGCACTTTTATCATAGACATTTAACAAAATTTTTAATATTAGCCTTCAACTGAGACAAAGATAACTGAACTATGACACACAACACCTAAATATTCATCTTAGACTTTGCAACATGTTGTGACACTGGAATTCATGTATGTATAAATCTAGATAAAATTATTCCTAAATTATTTTTGTGACAGGGCTTCACTTTAATGTAAAACAACATTAATATTTTTGTATTATAAATGTTATACACCATATACTGTTCCATGCATATTAAAAAATGAATAGTAACAATAACAGTTCCTTTCTTTATATGCTAAATACTATGAGACACTGTTCATACTGCCCATATTAAAAAAAATTACTTTTTACAAACTTATAAAAACTAAAGAAAGAAAAATCAAGAACTGTCATTTACTGTATTAAACCCTCATTTTTAATTTAATTGACAGATAGAAAGTATGTAGATGTATTTTTCGATGGTATCCATATTTTCATGGGCTTAGTTTTATAGTTCATATTGCAAAATATTCATTTTACTCAATTCACACAAAAGTACTAAATAAAAAAAAACACAAATTTAAATACACTTTAAAACTTAAAAAAAGCCTGAAAGAGAAATCTATCAATAGGAAGTGATTAATTCTATTATTTTGTTTGTTTAAGCTGTATCACTACAATTTGCCTACCTTCTTTCCCCATGAAACAAAAGCCACTGGTCACAAATAGGCCAAGTCTTATCTTGTGTATTCCAACAGATACAAGAAATTCTAGTGGCAATCACTAAACCAAAGCCCTTGCTGGCCGCTTCAGCTGCAAAAAGTGGACTAGTGAGGTCCACAATCTCCAAAAATAACCATGCTTACAGTCCTCTGTTTGAGGAGCAGGACTCCCCTGGCTACCTATGTATTAGGCAACCATCCCAAGTAGGTAAGTGTGTTTAATACTGTCGTAGATATTGCTCTAAAACTTCCATGAGTTGATGATGACAACTAAACATACCTAAAATGCTGATTTAAAAAACAAAAATTAATATGAACAAGAGAAAAAAAAAGACATTTCAAAATTTAAATGAAAATAAGTTATTTAAATATATTAAAAATAAAAAATTGAAATCTTTAATAACGACATACATTGGTACACGATAGTGTATTAAAATTTCTTTTACACATTAGGTGATGGGACAGGTATGAGGAAATGACAGAAGTAATCCCCCAAAAGTGTCCGAAGGATACCCCTAGAAATTAGAGAGTCAGCTCCGAAGATGTGATGAGGGGAACCTCACTACTTCTGTACCAGGTATACTCTTCACCCAACCATGAACTGTGAAGTAGATAAGGGTGTAAAAAAAAAAGTGGTTAAAACAATGGATGTACCCTTAGGTGTGGAGTGGCTAGGGCGTGATGGTCCATACTCGGTATGTCAACTACATCCAAAACCCATGCCACTGGAAACCGACATCCACGCGGGGGTAGGATGAGGATCACACTGTCTTTACCTCAAGTTCAAGAGACTAGGGGATTTTAGAACCACTCCGACTCCTGCACATGACATGTGATAGCTTTGATTTATCAATCTGGGGACCCGTCATCTGGTATCAAAAGGATTTCTATACAATATAAATCAACTCCCCCAACAGCAAAACTAACCGGAACCATCCGAAAAGAAATAACATCCTCGGAATATGATACAATGAGGGATAGCAAAAAGGTCAGAACTGGAATAATCCCCTTATCTTCACTTTGACCCACAACACAGAAGGAGAATGATCTAGCAAGGAATATAGACAATCATAAACATGTGTGAAAACGTTTGTTGATTGGTTCTACTCTAAATCCAAAACCCAGCCACGGGGTACCAATATCCACACGAGGGAAGTAATGAAGGCTCCCAATCAAAAGGGTGAACTGTAATTTGACGTCACTCCTTTGAGAGTGTATATTGCATATTGGAGAATATCACAGAACACCACTGCCCTACTCTGCACTGAATGGTTATAGCTATCTTTGGGACCCACACCTCGATGGTCGACCTCCCCAGCGGCTTGGAACAGGAAAGTGGTAAGGAGTTCTATACTCCACCAGAAGAAAGGGGGGTGAGAACACAGTGGAGAGTCCGGAGGAACATCATCACCTGAGACAGTACAATAGGTGACCAAGAAACCCTATTTTGAAAAGCAGATCATACCAATTTATTCAATACAAGGCATGACTAGGATGGGCAGCTATTCCCTTCTGCTTTACCCATGCAGTCCATGGGTGGTATGGTCTGGAACGGGCAAGTTTATGAAGCAATTACATTGCGAGGTTATTCACCTACAAAGGATCTTGTGGAATACCCCTTCTCAACAGTAAGCATTGCAAAGCCATGGAAGATAAAGCGAGTCTGTGCAGATTTTCAAGTTAAAGAATACCTGGTCAGGCACCATTCACCACAAAGCAGGAACCATATAATAAGTAAATGAAGCAAGGGCCCCTGAAACGAAAAGAAAAATATGAATATAAATTTATCCAGTCATAGTCATACTGAAGCGAGAAGAATGGCCAAAGGTAGAAGATGAAAACCCGATGACGAAGAAACCATGATATGGTGTAAATAATGGGAAATGTACATATTAGGTGTAGTCCACATGCCCGACTGGAGGATTTCCTCTGACGGCTGATGAAGACGAGATGCAAGGGAAAAGGTGAGGTGTTGAATCTGATGAGAAGACACCTGGAACAAATTCCAGGAAGAATAAGCCAATCAAATCAAAAGTTGAACCCAATAGGTGAGGGTAGAAAGTGAAAGATCCTGAACAAAGGAAGACTGCCAAGGGATAAAGAGTTGGGAACAGATACCATGGAAGGAAGCTATGTGGGCAATATAACAATGAAAAGTACGGACTGGATGTAGAAGTCTATCTGGATCGGGACGAAGGTAGAGATGAGAAATAGAAGGAACAACTCAGATAAAGGAGAAGACAGGTAGGATGATAAAGTGTACGTGAAACATCAATGGCAAACAAATCAGACCTTTGACGTCCACAGGTTAAGAGAAGAATGAAATATGTTTTAAGGGATAGGTGAAACATGGAACCCAAGGAAAGTGGTTTCAAATGTTAAGTGAAGGAATGGAAGATCACATTAACCCTTTCCACACATGTCACAGGTTAAAGGCCATGTCATCGCATTTGTTGACTCACATTCAAAATTTTATTGAACTACTATTTTATGTATTTATGTCATTAAATTTTAGTATTATACATAATTTATTTTTTTAATTTAAAAGTAAATATTAAAAAAAACACACCTAAACATTGATTTTTGTGTGTCACATCATATGTTGAATACAGCAATGGTTCAGATTAGTTGTTTGTGATGTCAAAATACAAATTCTATAGTTTTCTATGAATTAGGAATTCAAACTACCAATATTGACAAGCTATAATATAAAATAAGAACCCCTATCTTTTCAATTTGCTAAAATATTGCTCATGTACTGAATCAAATACAGTGGCCCCATTCACCTCTTTCCAATTTTGGAAACAGTCTCTTGTATACACTTACTTCAATATATGACGTGTGAATAACCAATCAAGAGCTCAGAATGTCCCCTAGTGGCTTTCTCAGCCATTTTTAAAATGTTAGTATGCCATCTTGTTCTTTTAAACCAAGATTTCATGGAGGTAGGTTGTGTCTTTAGTTTGCTCATATTTTTTTAGACTGAAATACAACTTAGTTGCTAAGCTTGATAAATTATAACGGAATTCTATGGTAGTGATATAGTAATATATAATTTTTTGGTTATTCAACTGTATATATATATATGACCTAAAAAAATATTTTGTTTCATATCTTCCATGTGCAAAATTCTAAGAGGCTTAGCAACCAAGTACAAAGGTCGTAACTGGAAGAGATAATTGTTTGCTTTACTTCTTTATTTACTGTTATATGTTTTAAGAAATATAAGTTTAAGAACTTATTTCTAAATAGTAATATTCTATATAAATATATAATGTATAATAATTGAAATGCGAATGTATTTTACAAAATACTAGTCTACTAGAATGCAGCCAAGATAGGTCAGTTTTACATTATTGGATACGGTAACATGAGAGCACGTGTGCCACGTCATTGTAACTTCTGTATTGTTAGCCAGGCATGACTAAAAGGTCAATATAATAAAAATAATAAATATATATATAAATGTATAATGTTATGAGATTTAAGCTATTTAATCTAAACATTTATGTTTTCGTGTCATAATTTATAGTAATTCTAGAATAAAAGAGACAATTTATAATTATTTCCTAATTTTTTATGGTGGTTACAAGATTGGTCAAATCGACCGAACCTATACGGATATTCGTTAGTAAAAATAACAGATAAAATATAAAGTTTTGTCATAAAAAACATTTGATAACTTTCTGGACAATATAAGTATTTTGCATGTGAAATTTGAAAATGTTGTGATGCATAAAAGTATTTTTAACCTTAAAATGAAAATTACTTTGCATGTTGGACAGGCAACATGCAAAAAGAAAAAAAGGCATGAGAAAAACATT